CCACCTTTGACGTCCGTAGGTAAAATTATTGGAATAATGTCTCAAGTTTTGCCATTTTACGATGGTTGCCTGACTGTGTATCACAAGTCTCTTATTGATTGGTTGAAATCGGACGGATATGGAAAGCATCCATTTACAGTTGAACGTATTGTCAATGGGCATAAGTTGTTGAGAAATGCTTGCGAGGAAGAATTTCGCTACATCAAGTCGTTGACGCGTTTTCAAGATCTGAAGATCACTGCTATGTGTACTTATGCTTTGCAAAATGGGATATATCATATGTTGGAATGTGGCGAAGATGCTGACTTTAGTTTGGTAGTAGATATTCGTATCATCTATGCCAGTTCAAAGATACTATTTTTAGTGTCGCATCTCCAATTTTGGCTGGATCGCGTCCTCCAGCAACGACGAATGTCTCTTAGGAAAGGCGTTATAGAGGAAATACATTTCATTATCGATACCATTAGTCACTTTTCACATCACTTACTTTCGAAAGAGTTCTTTTGTTATTATCTCCAATGTGTCCTAAATAGAATCCATAGCAGTGACCAACAAAAATGCTTGGCTAGGAACATGTTGCAGCAAGGAAACTCTGCTTGGTTTGAGGATTTAGACTCCACTTATGTAACAAACCATTATTCGACATTCTCCTTGCGTTATAAAATTACATCTCTTTGTTTGTCGTCAAATGAAGAACTTCTTGCAGTAGGATATGAAAATGGTGAACTATCTATTCTTGAGCTTCCAGAATTCAAAGAACGATGGTGTCTACGCCCTGGTCTTGATGATTCAAAGTCAACGAAATGGGGAAGGAAATTCAAAACTGCACCACACATTCATAAGCCCGAAAGCATCTGTTGTTGTTCCTTCTCACCTGCCGGCAACAGACTGGTAACTAGTGATAAATCCACTGAAATAAAGTTGTGGGATGTTAACAATAACCGTTTGTTATCATGTTTACAAGCAGATGGAATCATTACCCGCTGTTCTTTTGTAGATTCTGGGTTGTTCATTGCAGCAGAATTACTAGAAAACACATTCTGTCCATCTTTTTTCACGGCATGGAATGCATTCACTTTACAAAGAGTCGATCGACGCCGAAATATTATTTCTCCACCAATTCAATGCCCTGATGGACGCGCAAAAATTGCCTTCATCAACTATTGTCGTTTTATTTATGAGTTGCCAAATGCAATCGATGTTTTTGGGAATTGTGATTCTAACGTGCCTAATGCGATCGATGCGTATTCAGAATTCCTAGCCCTTCCCAATCCGGCAATAAAAAAGCATTGGCGGCAATGTGTTTTCTATCATACCAAACTCGTGCTAGATACTTCCAAAATCGCCGAGTTAATGGCAACCGTGCATCGAAACAAACACTACAAAACATATTGCAGTGAGTGCCGATGTATCCACAGGGAATTTGAAACAGTTGCACCAATCAACACGAATGGATTGTACGTGGTGCCCTATATTTCCAAATTAAGTGTTTTTAAAATAGATAGTTATTCTGAGAAGCACTTATTAAGGTGTCGGGACCATCAAATTAAATGCTGTTGCTTTTCACCAAATGGGTCTTTCTTGGCTACTTGCAGTTACTATGCCCCAGTCTACATCGACATTTGGGCCATCCAGCACTGCACCATTGTTCAGACTGTACAAATGCAACTGGATGAAGCACTAGGATGCTGGTGGTCGAACGGTTTATTGTGGATATGGGATGGTTCTGATCATCTTGCAAAGGTATTGACTTCCTCTGATTATTTTGTTGAGTCCGCTGGGTTAGAAATGATAAATATTGGATTTAAACCCAAAAACATCTTAACATTTGGCGATGTTCTAGTTTGTATTGACCTAGAAAATGTCGTTCGAGTTGTTAGAATTATCAACGGGGAAATACAATACAACGAGAGACTTCCTATCGACAATTCAGAAGTCAAAGCAGCTGTATCACCTGACAATTCTGTCATTTTAACTGTTTGCCGTAAGAATAGCATACAGATCAGTGTGTGGAAATGGCAAAATTGTGAAAGCACAGTACTAAAAAATGTGCACATTAACGAAATTCCTGTACCAGAACAAACAGATATAATTCGCTTCAATGTCTGCTTGACAAGCGATGGTAAAAAAGTGGTTCTTGTGTTACACCTTTTTGAAATAAGTGACTCGCACCGTGCGACGACTTTTGAGAGTAACTTTCTAATTGGTGTGCATTCGAACGGTGATATAGATCATTTTTCCAATAGAATCGTCTCATTACCTACAGATATTTTACTAGCTAGTGAATCGTACTGTGTTGGAAAAAACATTAAAGATGGTTTAGTAGCTGTTCATTTTGAAAATGGTCAAGAATGTAATATGAAAATACATTATGTCCCTTGGAACTCGCGTAACGTGGGTGATGATAACATCCGTATTGCTAGCATGCATCCTGGAACAGACACTGTCGTCTTGATATCTCACAAAAGACGTAAAATTCGATTTTTGAAAGTCCATTTTCCTCCGATAAATAAACATTAGCGCAATCTCATTATCAATGCTTCTGAGCTTAGCGCTTGTCAACATGTGAAGTAGATATTGATAAAGAACAGCCAGTATTTTAAAAATTATCGTCCAACATACAATGAAGAGAATATTAAAATTTATGTTTTTAAATCTCCTTGAATTGTCATTTGTTTTGTTCAAAATTGATATAAATTATTTGATTTTTTATTCTATTATTTTATTACTTCTTGTAATGTCGAATTGCTCGCAAGGACAGGAAATATTTCGATTTAAAACTAAATTTCAGTTGTTTTATGAATCTTCTTTTGGTGCTTGTCATTGCACCGTTCTTGGCCGACTGGGTCTGATTTAATTTGCGTGAAAATACACCAAAGCGAAGACCATGTCTCAAACAAGCTTTGAATGAGTATCCTTCCATTAGAAAGAAAGCAAATTCCTTTGGAATTTAATTTTTGATATTTTTATTTCACAAATAAGTCAAAAAGTTATCCAAACTGTTACGCTATTTCTGGTTTGAAACTATGCATTTTTTTCATAACTACGGTAAAACTACCCTGGAACTTCACATTCTTACCACTTCGTGTTACATTTCTTTATCTCTTCCCTTGACAGAGTCAAAATAAAATTTATTAGATGTCTCGAAATTTTCGAAAGACCTCAGCACTTTATAAGGTTTAACAGTTACCACTGGGTAAATTTTTGTTTGGTTCAACCATTGGTTTTACTCAATGGTTATACCATTATACTCATACGGAATTTCTTACGGAAATTCTAAAGTTTTATGTGGCAACACTGATTTTAACACAATTTACATTTAGGTGTTGTGAATTGTGATTGTATATTTGTAAACATTGCATATACATCGTTTTTAAACTTCATCAGCAGGAAAAGGAAAGATGTGCTCGAGAAAATACCTTTCTTGCAAGCTTTACGACAACATTTGTCGTATGTGGGAGGCAAGACAGTTATGCGACGTTGAAATCGTGGGTCGCGATGGAAATTCTATCGAAGCCCATCGTTTAATACTGTCTGCCATCAGCCCTTACTTTCGAGGTATGTTTACAGCGGACCTGTGGGAAAGTACACAAAAAGTTGTGAAACTGGAAAGCATCGATGGGGACACAATTGCTTCTCTTGTGCGGTTTGCTTACTCTTCAAAACTTGATGTTAGTAGTAGCAACGTAGAATGCCTGTTGACTGCTTCAAGTCTACTTCAAATTAAAGAAGTGGAAAAAATATGTTGTGATTATTTGCAAGAGCAATTACACACTTCAAATTGTCTTGGTATCTGGGCCTTAGCTGAACACCAGAACTGTCGCGAGCTGGCTGCATTTTCCTTCAAATTCATCTTGAAAAATTTTCCAAGTATTTATCAAGACGACGAATTTCCTTGTCTGTCATTGAATCAGGTTAAAACGATTCTCGGGGATCCAAATTTATCCATAAACTCAGAAGAAGAAGTTTTCGAAGCCTGCTTAAGATGGATTGGATCAACTGGTACAAGAGAGGTCTGCCTTCCTGATCTCTTGGATTGTGTTTTCTTGGGCTCATTGACAGCTGATTACCTCAGAAATTCTGTTTTGAAAAACAAGTTAATATGCAACAATTTAGTCTGTAGTGAAAAAGCTCAAAAAGCCTTGAGATTTTCATTTGCTCCTCTATCTGAGAAACAGAAAAGCTCATTTGTTTTGCAGAATTCCACGAGGGTTGCAGATGGCTATGGAGACCAGTTACTCACGATTGGAGGATTAAATGGTACCAATGCTGTAAATGCAGTAGAATTATATAATATGTACACAGACTCATGGGAATCTGCAGCAGATATGCCATGTGAGAGATATGGAATAGGTGTTGCTAAGTTACGAGGCATAATCTATTGTTTGGGAGGTTACACTTCCGGTGTATTTTTAGACATCTGTGAATGTTACAATACAGAAATGAATATTTGGCAAAGCATGTGTCGTATGTTGAGGCCACGAAAGTACCTCGCTGCATCCCAATCACACAACAGGATTTTTGCCATTGGAGGAACCGACGGGATTGTCAGGCAAAAATCAGTCGAAAGCTTTGATCCATGTAAGAATGAGTGGAGTTGCTGTGCACCAATGGCAACGCCCAGAATGTATCTTGGTACGGCGAGCATTGGTGGTTTAATTTATGCTGTTGGTGGTCATGATGGCGTCAGACGACTAGAAAGTGTTGAATGCTACGACGCCAGCAAAGATTGCTGGGTACCAGTGAGATCAATGGGTATGCTTTAAAAATAAATTTGATCAAATGTCAGTTCGAATGCTTTGGACTTGTTGATTGAAATATTCTTTATATTCCTCGTCGATCGCGTTAGGGAATGAGAGATCAGTGGCAGGTGTTACAACCATGGATAGCGTTTTGTACTTCGCTGGGGGTTTTGACGGTGTTAAGCATTGTAAGGATGCATGCATGTATGATCCACGGGAAAACAAGTGGACAGCAATTGCTGACATGAACGTGCCCAGGTATTTCTAAATAAAACTTATTTGAAATATAAGGAAATACATGGAAAGCTCAACAAAACGTTTTATGATGTGCTTTAAAATATATCCAGATATTTTAAAAGATGTTACCATTAGTCTTCAATAGGCATAAGAATATTTTATAATATCCATTGGTAGAGAAGAATATATTAAAAGTGAATGGTTTGAGCTCGGAATTATCGTTAAGAGTTGGTAAATGTAAATCGTCTAGGTTAGTAGAGTTCTGAGAAGGACTGTTGGTGTTGATGTTGACTGACGTTTTGACGAACTTAGAGGCAGTCATCTTCTGAGTGCATACAGTTGACTTCTGAAAAGTCGACTGTATGCACTTGGTGGTTTTAACGGTCAGTTCCTTCAATCAGTTGAAACGTACGATGCTAGAGCGAATATTTGGGAACCTGCAGTCGACATGATCATAAGCAGAGCTCATTTTGGGGCATCTGTGTTCTGATTTCTTCACGTAGCTTCATTTCATGTAAATATCAGATAGAAACTGAGGTTGTATGGGAAGGCTGTACTTTCATTTTATATAACTTCATATAATGGTCTAGCCACGAACAAAATATTTTCTCGAATGAATGAATCGGACCAAAAACGTTTTAATCCCGCTGAGCTTATGTTGTCTGGCCAACCATTAAAATGCTTTCAAAATTCATTATCATGACTAAGCTCTCGGTATGTGATTACAAAAATAATGTTCGTAAAAACATTATTTTTGTAATCACATACCGAGAGCTTAGTCATTGATGTCCATGTTAGTGTGCCAATTGATTGGTAAATTTTATACTTTTATTCCAAGAAAAGTACGCCCCTCGTGGAGATCAACCTCAGTTGACGTGGCCAGCATGTCAAAATAAAGATTTTCATTCATTTATTCATCACGTCACGAAGTAAATATAAAGATGATAACGCTGACAGATAAAAGATTTATGATAGCAGACTCATTTATTCATGTCACGTTTTGCTTGGGGATTAACAGGCCTGGTCACAATTTCTAGAAGAGGATGAGGATCGTGTTCCACGTAGCTATTGAATAAGTTTCCTTTTTTTCATACAGCTGAATGAAATTTTTCATCAAAGAAGCAAATAATGTCGTATTTCAAGACGTAACAATCTAAAAAAGTTTGAGTTTTTATCATCCATTGAAATGGTTATTCTGAATACCTAAGATACCTTTATCTACGTTACCATCATCTTACCCACGATACCATCATCTGACCCACGTTACCAACATATGACTTACGTTACCAACATATAACCCACGTTACCATCACCTTACCCACGTTACCATTATCTTACCCACGTCATCATCACCTTACCCACGTTACCATCATCTTACCCACGTTACCATCATCTTACCTACGCTAATACCACCTCACTCACGTTACCATCACCTCATCCACGTTGCCATCATCTCACCAACACGTCATATTACCTTACTCAGCATACCAATACCTTGTTGAACAGCACGAGTTATCATTGTATCATTATGTTAACAACATTACCGATGATCCTAATACCATCTCACTCACGTTACCATCGTCTCATTCACGCTACCAATATATTCATGCAATACTCGTTAAGTTAATGCCGCAGTTTGCAAGTGACAAAATTTTGTTTGGGTACCAAACCAGTTCTCAAAACGAACAACTCAGGAAACAAAAACAAAGTCGACACAAACATGGACACTCTGGTTGATGTTGTTTAACCTAAATGAGTATTTTTCTCTATTTGACTGTTTATATGGTTTTAGCAATCTAAGAGGAAAGAGGAAATATGTACGTTTTCACGCAAGAAACCATTAAAAATATTCAAAGTTAGAACTAAAGCGTTATCCTGATAACATTTTCCATCCATTCTTGTAGTATTTTCGATCGTGACCTCTCTTAACTCCATCCTAGGAAGGAATATCAAATAACATAACGCCAGCCCATTCTTTAACTCGTTCAGCATGGAAATGGTAAGAGATACAGAAACCATTCAAACAAAGGCGCCAGAACTAATAGAAATGCAGCGAAATACGAGTTAAGTAGCGTTGCTACAAGTTTGTTTTAGTTCCTGCAATTTCGTTATGTTCCTGAAAGCTACCTATGACAATTTATTTGGTGGCGTCATCATCCAAGTGTTTGGTGTCGCTTTGATCAGAAAAGCTTGTGCGCGCGCAAGGACGCTACTGAAGCATAGAAATGCATGGTTGTATTTTGCACATATTTATTTTGAACACATTGGACAATAACTGGGAGGAGCGTAAGTACACGCAAACGTTAAAGGAATGCCAATAGCACCAGATGAAAAGTCGCTTGCAGCTAAGCTTGTCAAAATGCTATTCTCACTGCTCCCAATACTACGTGGTGTTTTTCGATTTTTCACAATATATATTACAAAACCATTAAATACCACGATCAACAGTGCGATAACTATATACGCGATATTTTTCGGATCAAAGACTCGCGTTTCACTTCCATTAGCCGTAGAATTCATGTTCATTCCCAACCTTGAATAATTTGCTGATTAGAAAAGTAACGAAGCAACGTATCAGACAGCAGCTCCAGGAGATCCTTGGGTCCACAGCTCAATTGTTAACTGTTTCGTTACCTCTAGCGCACGCTATTGTGATAAACAGCGTCTAGGTCAATCTCCGGGGCTTCGGATGACATTTTTTGGCCATAGACAGCTGTGTAAATTATTATCGCTACGATAAGTGTGTTCAAGATAATTGCTTTTGTCACCAAAGTAGGAGGCAAAATTTAAGCAAACATGCTAATGGAATAATTTATCAGATTAGCCGACAAACTCCAAAACAATCTTTTCTTTGGCAAAATGTTTCATGGAATTATATTCCGAGACAAACCACTATAAGTGGCAGCTGTACGAACTCGGATAAAATGATTTGATAAGAATAATTAAAAATAACGACATCGATATATTTTCGAAACGAACGCAAAAAAAAGTGAAGAAAAAAGCGCATGGGAAGATTCAAGGTGATGTCCAATGATCCAATGTCGACATTTCTGTCGCGTGCACAGAGCCTCAGCACCTATAAAAACAGCCTAATTAGAGAGCTTTGCGTTTTCAATGTTTGAGACGTTCAGTGAATTTTTAGAATTTAAAGTTCGAAAAATTTGTCACAGTTACAGAAATATGCGATATAACGTATTTTCAAGATAAAAATTGACGCCAAATTAACCATTTGAAATGGCCAAGTTAAAAGACACAGCCATATTCATGCTGCGAGTATTTTTAGGTGGTGAGCTTTTTCAATACTCTACAAATACAAAAGGTGAAAGCACTGTGGGATGAATTAGCTATAAGTAAAGGAAATCTCAAAATGGCTACCGCAGACAAGGGATGCTTTTTATGGATACTTGCTCCGTAGTTTATAGTCACGATGGGCCAGTTCGTTCAGTTTATAAATGTAAAGAACACGAAACGGAGGATAGAACAATTACTAATTACCCTTGTAGTTCACGGCTAATTGCTGAAATATTTACAAGACAAGTAATGAAAATATCAAGAGAAATGTTTACTTCTTTTAGCTACAAAAAAGCATTAACAGCGTACAGTATATGAAAAGGATATTTTGGAAGGAAGTTTGTTTGTTTATGATGATTTTTATCATGTTTATATTAAATTATGTAAAAGATGCAGCAGAAGTAAATTGGACTTTGGTCGCTGCTGAAAACGGCGATTCAACTTTTTGCATTTTTCTAACTCACGGATGTTGTTAGTCAATATCTTACAATATTTCTTATGGTTGCAAAGTGGGAGCACTAGGAGGCAGTCAAATAATGATTAAAGACTATAGCCTGCTTTGCGCACAGCATTTGCCTGCCAAATCGACCTTTCAGTTTTAGACCTCCAAAAATGAAGCTCTTCCGCTATACGCCGCTCGTTCGTTCGACGAGGCAATACCACACCTTATTTAGTTTAATTTTGCCTGAATAGTTTAGTTTCACTTTAGTAGCTTAGATCAAATCTCGAAACAACTTCGCTCAAAAAGGTGTCTCTCTGAAGCCACACATACTTGTCAATAATTTTACACAGGCTTTACACATAGGTAGTTTCTCTATTGTCTAGTTTTTGCCTGATGACAGCTTTGGGAACAAGTGCTTGGCGGGAAAATTCAACATAGCAGATTTATATGGACATTTCAATTTTCATGACCAAGTACGATTTCATGCAATATATTATACCTCAATGAATACAACGTCAATGAGTAAGATTTTCTCGCTATGCACTTGTATTTCATCGACAGTATTTTTGACCAAATCCGTTGATTATGAGAGAGAGAGAGGAATTTTGTGTTTAGTGTTTTCTGTTTTAATTAATTCATCCGTCTTTAGTATTGTTTTAATGACTTACACCTACATTGGAGCATCAACGCATGTGAAACATGTGAAAAAGCTCTTGTTGAACTATAATGATAACTATACGAATTTACAGTGATAAGTACATAAAATTCAAATGAGTTTCCATTTTTTAAAAGAAAGCTCAGAGTATGACAAAAATGAAAGAAAAAATCTGCAGAATAAACAAATTAGCTCGGACACTGACTTGGATTATTGATACACATATGTACACAATGGTCTTGTTTTGAGCCAACCGTCCTGGAGCAGCGGAGTTGCTCAATAAATAAATTATGAAGTGAAATAATTATCAAAGCGAAACAAAGTGACTTTGATGTTGGGATGGAGAAATAGCAGCTTTTTAGGGTTTATTCGGCGAGTTCAATTGTCAATCCATTTATTCTTTAATGATATTGTAGCGCGACTCGTTTGATTTTGAACAAGGCTTTCATTGGAAACTCTATTGATCTGTACATTTAAACTTTGTAAAGTATGATTTGTGTGCCTCCCTTATTGCTCACACTTTTGAATAAATGGATTGCTCACGCATTTCAAGACTATTGACTATCATACTATCCATAACCATAGGCGTTAATCGAACTTTAATCGAGGGGGTGCCATATTCTTAAATTCTGT